TCAATAATCAATGAGTACATTTATATAAAGCACCTATTATTTAATGAAATAAAATAAAATATTATTTTATACACATACTTTATATTTAATAGATGTTCAAGTTAATCAATGTTATCAAAATATCATTCCCTCAAAAAATATTATTATCTATCTTTTTTGTAATGGGTTGTTTTACTTTAAGACTACTTAAAACATTAAAAAAAAATGATTTTGCGTAAATGCGTTTTGGTTATGTTGAGCGTGAGCCAGCGAGAGAAAACAAATAGAGCACTGACATCCTCTTAATAATAGGTTCGCGTTGAATTTCTTTCCCTATATCAGGCGTTGTGTGTATGCAATTTAATTGTGTTTTAGCATTTTATTGTTTTATCCGCTATAATGGTCTAGAGATAACGAGAAACTAAATTAACATTCTTAAATGGATTAYTTGAAACAATATTATCAATTAATTCATAACAAAAAATGTATTGTTAAGTTCAATTAAATTATATTATATTTTATAATAATATTGTTTACACATTTTGTAAATCGTATGTATACAAAGAGAATTTTATTAAAAAAATACATATTATAAATGATTATATTTATATATATAACTAACTCAAATTACAAAAATATTTGAAATTTTTTATGAATATACATTTTATTAACCCGTGAAAAAAATATACCTAAACTGAAAAATGTTACAGTTGGAGCAACAGCTGTTGTATTCAGAATTCCAACGAAAAGTGTTTTCTATAATGACAAGATTGAACCTAGACAATGTCATCGATCCCAACCTAAGAAGGCAACTTAAGTTTTTGTCAATGCCAGGACCTGCTGCTCTACCACAAGAACAACTGAGTCGGGTAAGAATATTTTAAAAATATATAATGTTATATTGTTCTGTTGTATTGTTGTAGTTATTAAGTTTAATGAACTTCTGTTAAACTGTTAATGTGAAACAGTATTCTAAAATACTTACAATTTCATTTTTTCATTTACTTGTTTTTTTTAAAAAAGATATGATAATTGTTCAAATCTCATTACATACACTGTTGATTTACATACATTTCTTTTTTAGCGGGTTCTTTATTTTAAACGTAAAATTATGCAAATTGCGTATAATAATGATAAATATCTTGTTTATTTTTTCAGTACAACCGTCTTATAAATGACATGTTAGCTGTTTATAATAGCGCTTCTATTTGCGCTTTTGACGAACCGTTGAAATGTGGTCTCAGACTAGACCCAGGTATGTGTTTATAATGAATGATATYTTGAATATGATTATGAAAACTGTTACATTTTTGTACTCTAGATTTGAATATGATAATGTCTCGAAGTCGAGATTGGAATGAACTACAACACACTTGGATAGAATGGAGAAGAAGAACAGGACAAAAAGTCAGAGATATGTTTGAACAGCTAGTAGATGTTAGCAATCAAGCAGCTCTTTTAAACAGTACGTTTCTGATTTTGAACATGTTTTCGGCTAATTATTATTACTTGAATACTRGATTTAATTATGTTTCACTACTTATGTATTGTCTATTTGGCTAGATGTATCAGATGCGTCTGAAATGTGGAAATTTCCCTACGAATCACCTTCGATGAGGTTCGAATTGGAAGACGCTTGGGAACAAATAAAACCTCTATACGAACAACTCCATGCCTACGTCAGAAAGAAGTTACGCGATTTATATGGGCCCGAGAGAATAAGTCGAGAAGCGCCGTTGCCCGCTCATGTCTTAGGTTGTAATTATAATATARTTTTTAATGTGATCTGTTTTATATTTTATTTGTTACGGGGTTTAGGAAACATGTGGGGCCAGTCTTGGGAAAATATTTTAGACTTGACCATACCATATCCGGGAAAAAATTATTTGGATGTCACACCACAAATGATCAAACAGGTGCATACTAATTTTTTATCGAGTTATATTCATTGTATTAAAAGAAAAGTTTCAAAATAATAAATATATTAATATTTATTCACAGGGATACACACCAGCTGCAATGTTTAGAGTGGCGGAAGAATTTTTCATATCGTTAAACATGAGTTCAATGCCTCAATCTTTCTGGGCCAATTCAGTCGTAGAGGAACTTCCAGGACAGCCTATAATTTGTCAACCTTCTGCTTGGGATTTTTGCAACAGACAAGATTATAGGTTAATATAAATATTTCAGAATATAATGTTAGTCTTTCATGCATTTTTTTTAATGAATAACCAAATYRATATGTCTAGAAACAGTTAGGATATTTAATAAATATAATTATATAAACTATGAGATAGAAGTTGGCATTTAAATCTAATCAATAAACATTTTTTTTTGGAAATTATAAACATGTATCGAAGTAAATAATTGAAAAAACAATATAATTTTATAAATACACGCAGACACACAGTTTATTTACAACGGCTTACAACCTTTAATTTTTTAAATATATAAATTTATATTAGAATATTAAAATTTTTATGTATGATGGTAATTTAAGTAGGTACATAAAATTACATATTATAYAGACAAATTTTTATTTTCCGTGGAAAACTAATTATTTAAAAAAATTCTTATATTTGTATTTTACAGTAGCGTACCTATTACATCAAATCCAACCCTTAAAAATATATTATATCTAATTAAAAATATATTAATAATTAATATATTTTTTCCAAAAAATTTTAGCTTATAATTTTGTTTTAYCTTTCAAGTTTGCTAAACATAATCGTTTAATAWTAAATAATATTTAAGATAATTTAAACTACAAGCTGTTTATATTTTACATATCAGTCATTACATTTTGTTTAAATATGTATCCTAAATTCTAAAACATATTCAATTTCAAGAGATTATATTTTCAAAACAGCTTAAATATTAGATACAAAACACATTGTAAAACAATATGCTGAAATATGTACATAAATATATTTCTGAGAACTTCAAAATTATTTATTTTTAAATATAGATAGGGACAAATTAAAAAAAGAATAATCATTTAAGAACTAGATATCTAATAGCATATCTATTGCCTATATAATCAAAAATGTTGAGACTTTAGAATTTTAGATTTGTTAAAAGAAGTTTATACAAACATTTTCCACTGTTGCTTAAAATTAAATTTCAGGCTTAAAAAACTACAATTGTAAACATTTTATTATTAAGTATTACWTATAGATAATTATTAGTTCATCACATCTTATTAGTTAATACTCTAATTTAATGTCAAATTCAAAGTAAGGAATTTTATTTTGGAATAATGTTACTATAGACAATGGTGTTTTGATACTTACATTAATTACTAATTAATTATGAATGTCAAATGCTACAAATTCAGCGTACATATTAAAATATATTGATTTACGAGGCCTTCATAAATAATTAAGTCAATATTAAATTTTGCGATATTTGATCTTTTAATTTTATTATTATACTATATAATATAAAGTTGATGTATTTTTTAGAATTAAAATGTGCACCCAAGTTAATATGAAAGATTTTATCACTGTTCATCATGAAATGGCTCATGTACAATATTTTTTGAATTACAAAAAACAACCTAAGGTGTATCGCGATGGTGCTAATCCAGGTATATTCATTAAATGTATTTAGATTATATATATAAAAAATTCATACTAAATTATTTTTGGTGTTTAAAGGATTCCACGAAGCTCTAAGCGAGGCAATATCGCTCTCTGTGTCAACGCCAAAGCATTTACAAACGTTGGGATTGATATTGAACTCTGTTGATGACATTCCCCATAACATAAACTATTTGTTTGGATTGGCGATGGACAAGCTTACATTTTTGCCTTTCAGCTTGGCACTCGACTTATGGCGGTGGGATATATTCAAAGGGACTACGCATAAAGAAAGATACAACTGTCATTGGTGGGACTTACGGTAAACGATATTTTTTACGATAATATTTAATATAAATTAGTTGTTAGTATGCACGTTGCACCTGATTCAATTATTATATTTTTCTTGATGTAGTGACCAGT